CAGGAATCACAAACAGGGACCATATTTCCCCTTTCCCTTGTGGTTAGCTGAAGCCCATGATTGCTTCTGTCCAGCTGTTGCTGTCTCAGCAGGACACTTCCCTAATAGAAACCCCATAATATTTGGCATGATTTTGTTGGTCAGTGACAGGCAGCCTAGACATTGATCAGAGAGGTTAGAGAGTTGACAGTCATGTTATGGGGTGATTAGTAAAACTAACTTTCATTATGAAACAGAACAAAATATTATGTAACTAAGAAAAAATGTGGCTTTCGGTGGTGGAGGGGAGTAGACCATTCCTAGTGTGTATTTGTTGCTGTTGACTAGGATTTGGCGACATACACTCACAGAGAATTGGCTATTTTGTAAACAAGAAAGGAACAGAGCTATTTCAGAAACCAGAGCTTTGCAAAATTACAAATTCTTATAGCCCTTATAGACTCCAAACAGAAAAAAGGGAACTAATAAATCACTAAGAGACAAATCCCTTTAAAGTAACTGTGGATAAGGTCAAATGCAAAGTGTGGCCTCTATACCTATTGGTAATGTTGTTCAACAAATAAGGCACTTCAGGACTGACAATATTAAAGTATCCTATTAGATAAACCGTCAGGGCAAAGAGAAAATTAGGTGTGGCTTTTCCAACAGAGAATCATAGATCATGTAGGCTCAAGTTACCTGTAATAGCAATGGGGGTAAATGGGGGTGATATGGGTCCAAAATCAAAAGAAGCTAGTGGATCTGAGAAACAACTTTCCAAAAAAACAAATGGAAACATTAACAAGCATACTAGACCAGAATCAAAGATACTTATTAAATTTTAGGAGGGATTTAAAGTTACAAAATCACAAGCTCAAATAGCTATACGTTCCTTTAGCATTACAAAAATAAAACACAGACCAAGAAAATTGCTTAGTAGCCCAAAGTGCCTATGCCTTAGTATGTAGTGGAGGAGAAGACCTCCAGAAACTGGAAGACACAGAATCAAGGAATGTTCGTACTCTCAAGAATAATCTCAGAATTTCACAGGACAATCTATACTTATACACGGCTTCCTTTTTCTCCTTTTAGGATGATGGAGTACTTCCTGTGGATGTCATGGGTGTCTTTACTGTATACTTTTTGCACAGAGCAGACTGATCTATGATTATCAGTTTACGGGTCTGTTAAAAGGAGCCACGTGAAGATGTGACATGACACTGGGATAACCACACACTATCTGAAGACTCTGAGCTGTGAACATCGCACTGTGACCAGTTTGAATCTTGTTGTCTAGGGGAGGAAATGGGTGAAACAGAAACTAGACACTGGAACAAACACCTGAGATCACTTTTGTTCCTCGGCATGTCCTTGTGCTCTTGCAGTAAGCTGGACCACAGGCTGTGCTGAAGCATCCATGGCTGCTGGGAGACCATCCAGAACTTTCCACCATGGCAATCATGGAGGATGTCACAGTTAATTGTCAAGATGGCTAGGTTAAGAGGTGCCTTAGAATGGGATACTTTGGGGCACATCTGTGAGGGTGTTTCTAGTGAAGATTGGCATGTAGGTAAGTGAACTGAATGGAAAAATCTTCCCCAAACATAAGCAGCCCTCTTGGCTGGGATCCCAGGAAGAAATGAAAAAGTGCAAGAAGAGGGAGCCTAGTCAGTTTGCACCCTCCGTGCCCCTGGGGTGGTGCACTATTGCTGCTGCTAACCTGTATAGGGTAAAAGTGCCAAGCCTACTTCCAGGTTTGAAAAGCCACCAAATCCATAAGCACAAAAACCTATCGATTCTTGAGCACAAAACCCCACAAATCTTTGGACATGAAAACCTACCAATTCTTGAGCATGAAACTCCATCAATTCCTAAGCACAAAACCCCAAGAATTTCTGAGCTCAAAATCTTACTAGACCCTGGGCTTGGCTTGAAATCTCACCAATGGGAATCTTCACCCTGGAAAACTCCTCCCTCAAGAAACCCTAAATAAAGCCCACCTCCCACTCAGTTCTACTCCTGGGTTTTCCCCTCCCGATAAATCTCTTGTGTTAGGTTTGTCGTGTGGTGTAACTTTGTGATATTGCTTGGCTTCTGCCTACCCAGATGGATACATTTCCTTTAGAGCTGTAGCTGTAGCACTTGCACTGGGGAAAACTTTTTTTTTCTGTGGCCTGTAGACACCAGATCCTACATTCTTCAGCTTTGGACACAGTCTTGCACCAACAGCTCTTTGTGGGTGGTGGAGGTGCTTAGACCTTTGGCCTCAGGCTAGGCTGCATCCTTGGTCTTTTAAACTTCTCTAACTGGGTAGCTCCTGGTTTCTCCACCTCTCCACTCTGCAGATGGGCATTGTGACATCAATCAGTCTCTGATTCTGTAAGCCAACCTAATAAGCACGCACACATGCACATGTGCGTACACACACACACATAATTGAACTGGTTGGGATGGGTATCTTGTCTAACTTCAGATGTCTTTTCTAATTATGTTGGATTTGCTCTGGTTAGAACTTGGGTGGCAAAAACTTAAGGCTAAATAAGCCTTAGTTAAGAGACTAGAAAACTGTACTTTTGCTAGGTTTTAGTTATGGAAAACTTGAATAAAGTCACCTGCCCAAAGGTTTCGAACACAGCGAGGTTCTTTCTAGACAGAATATGAAAATCGTGGATGAGGAAAGAAACATGAGAGGAATGAAGACAAAGAGTCATCTAGAAATGAGAGAAACTTAGCCATGTCACATGGAAAGGAAGATGTTTTGGAAGATATGGGACAATGAACATCCTGATCTGGGGTTGGCTTCTAACCATACATGGAAAGAGGCGCTTTCACACCACTTGAGCTTTTATGCTAGGTGCTATGATAGTCACTGGTGTTTATAACTAGGGAGGCAAGTGGCCTAAGAAAGGAATACATGTTTCTTGACCTATCTTTTCTTTGTACTATAAGCTTTTTTTATTTATCACATGAAACAAAGCCAGCCTAGGGATGGGAAGATAATTTATTGTGAACTATCTGCCACCCCTTGTCTGCTGCTTCCCTGCGGGGCATCCAGGCTCCTGGGCTGTACTGGAGGAAATGTTGCTTAGCTAGGGTGGGTGCAAAATAGAATCTCAGTGAGCGGTGAGTATGTGAGAAACAGCCTTTTAGGGAGACAGTTTCAGCAAGACAGCTAATTGTAGTTTAATTGTAGGGGAACAAAGGCTATTACTTAAACCTTGGATAGAGGCTTTCTGGGTGAGTGTACATCATTGGCCAGGGTCAGGGTGATGGAAAACGTCTCATTTGCATGAAGAGGAATTCCAGGTGCTTGCTGGACATGACCTTATAAGGAAAGGGGAAGTTTAACCTGGCCCCCAGGCTATGTGGCTACTTTGAGGGTGTTGGAGGTGTAGGGTGGAAGGCTACATGCACTTGGACATGCCAGCCCAGGACAGGGGGTGGGGGAAGTAGTCCTATTCCTGCTGGTCTCAAAATGAGATTTTTGGGGTTGGGATCTCTCTTGCTCTGGCCTAGTTACACCGGTTGTGTGGCTCCCTGGCTCTACAAACTATCCACTCAGGCTCTGTGTGGATACCCTCTTTGTGTTGGGCTAAGGGCCATATGAATTATTTTGAGTAGTACATGGTCATCAAGTACCTGTGCATATTCCTTGGCCTAAAACTGTGAACACATGTGGAGCCTTACATAATACACAATGAAGTTAACTGTTGTATATTCTCAGGAATGAGGAGGGTAAGTTGGAATCTGTCAAATTGATCACTCTTTCTGCCATGTACACTCACCAAATGCAGTTTTCACATCAGCTGCTCAACTTACAGAACGCCTGAGTTCAAAGCTGGTGCCCTTTCTAGCACTCTTCACTTCATCTGGGAGCTGTGAAACAGTAGAGCTCAATGTCATAGCCTTGCTTAGAGTTTGTATCAGAAGAACTACCCAGAGAAAAATGAAAACCGGAAACATGTTAGATGTTACTTCAACTCAAAAGCAGTTTGGTTTAACTAGTATTCTGTTTTGGCTTCTGTTGCTGCTGTTGTTTGTTTTGTTTTGGAACAGGTTGGTATTACTGTATAGTTTTGCCTGCCCTGAAATTCCAGATATGGATCAGGCTAACTTTGAACTCACAGAGATCTACCTGTCTCTGCCTCCCCAGTGCTAGGATTAAAGGCTAGGATTAAAGACATCACTCTCAGTTCTGTTGTGGTTTAGTTTATGAAAAAAAAAAGTGTTCCTGTTTCCTGTAAATATTGTGGTTTTTGTACTTGGGAGTTGGCTTAGAAACTAGGGCTGCTGCAATAGAGGGAAATTCAGAAGTTTTCCCAGCTTGGTCAACGGTCTTATTGTAAGAGGTCACTTTCGGTTGGAGAAAAGTAAAGCAGTTTTCTTGGAAGAGTTGCAGAACTGAGGGAGCAGTGTGCCTGGGACCTCAGCCTTCTGCTCTGTCCTTTGCAGCTTGGATCCTGGAGGGGTGGCTAGGGGCTGAGAGAGAATGAAAAGGGGACAGGCATGCAGACACAATGAAGCTGGGATCAGGTAGGTCTCCCTTTGGCTTGTATATTAGGTACAGAAAGGAGAAGGAGTTACAAGGGAAGCCACCTCTGTAGGCCAGAAGTAACAGCCTATAAACTTCCAGGAGAAGGCTGCAATTGCTAGTTTTGCATGCACCAATCAACTGCTTATAAACATACTCGGACTCCTCAGGACAGCTTTGCTTGTTGTTACATTTGACCCTGGCCTGTATGGGTAATGGTTCCTGCGAATTTACACGGACCAATTGGTCTCACAGGCTGCCCATGTCGAGATACACAGTCAGTCAGATCTTCTCTCACTCAGGACTTTTTCTGCTCCCTACAGCCTTGGGATGTGGAGTGTGTCTGGGGAGAGGTCAAAGATCGTATGGTCTTTTTTTTTTTTTGTGGGTCTATGCCCGACCTGGTGTGATTGAAAAAAAGAAAGTGAAACCCGGAAAGGGCTAAGAAGCCTTCTTCCCTTTTTAAAAGTTATTTTAAAGCAGAGTGTAAAGTTCCATACACCATTCACTCAACCTTCCTGAGAAGCAGAGTAGAGCCTGCAGGGTGCTCGGGGTGAGCAGAACCATGGAGAAGTTCAAGGCCGTGCTGGACCTGCAGAGCAAGCACCGCAGCGCCCTGGGCTATGGCCTGGTGACCCTTCTGACGGCTGGTGGGGAGAAGATCTTCTCCTCAGTGGTGTTCCAGTGTCCCTGCACTGCCACCTGGAACCTGCCCTACGGCTTAGTGTTCCTGCTGGTGCCTGCGCTCGCGCTTTTCCTCCTGGGCTATGCGCTGAGCGCGCGCACATGGCGCCTGCTCACTGGCTGCTGCTCCCGGAGCGCGGGATCTGGTTCAGGGTTGCGCGGCGCGTTCGTATGCGCTCAGCTCAGCGCGGCCGCGGCGCTCGCACCCCTCACCTGGGTGGCCGTGGCGCTGCTCGGGGGCTCCTTCTACCAATGTGCTGTCAGCGGGAGCGCGCGCTTGGCGCCGTACCTGTGCAAGGGCCGCGACCGCAGCTGCATTGCCAAGCTACCGCAGGTTCCCTGCAACAAGCAGGAGGCGGAACTGCAGGAGATCCTGAGTCAGCTCAAGGCTCAGTCTCAGGTCAGCAGGCACTGGGAGCGATGGGGAGGCGCAGAGGGGTGAAGAAGAAATCAGTGACTTTTCTCTAGATCAGGGACTGAATATTTAACAGGGAAAGGGCGAAGTACTTGTCCCATCTTGTAGGAGCCAGAAGTACCCTTTATATAATTCTTTAGTGTGCCCTTCCACTGTGTAGCAGAGACTCAGGCCAGGTGAATTAGTACATCCGGGAAAAGCTAGAAGCATTATTACATTAGAACCCGTCTTGCCAGCCCAAACCCACCACCCATACACTATCCGTTGAGAAAGTCCCGAGGGCGTGTGCACAGGAGGATGGTGCCTCTTTACAACGAGTACCCTTTTTTCTGGATCCGTAGAAGCCATACATTTTTAGTTACAGGGGAGTGATACGTGAACTCCTTTTTGGTTACTTGACATGACTTGGACTATTGGACTATTGTTGACTTTTTAAGACAGCAGTAGGGTTGTTGTAGTGTGTGTGTGTGTGTGTGTGTGTTTGCAGGGGGTAGCAGGGTAATTACTACTAACAGTTCTTATTCTAAAGGGCTTAAGGCAAGACTTGTTCACTATCCGGAGCTGGTAAATAATTTAGTAAATACTTTATGTTGGTATCCAGAGCCAGCTTGGCGGCTCCAAACTCAGGAATGTCACACATAGGTGACATCTGTTGCCATGACAACCTTGCATACCTTCCCAGAGCCCACTTTTCACACTCACCTGCAAATAGCCTACATCACAGCCTAGATAAAAAAGCAGACTTTCTTCCCACCTTCAACCCTTTTATCTCTTGTCTTTCTCTCCCCCCCCCCCCCCCCCCGTTCTTTCCTAATAAAACCTCTGCCGTGAGGAGCTGCTTTGGCCTGGTGTGGTCTATCCAGCCGCTAGCCACCATTCAACACAACACTTTATCTCAGGCTTTTAAATTTTTCTAATGTCAAAAGTCCCTAAGTTGCCATCCTGTTTTGTTTCCTGTAGGTGATTGGTTGGATTCTGATAGCTGCTGTCATTATCTTACTTCTTGTTGTTAAGTCTGTGACCAGATGCTTCTCTCCGGTTAGTTACCTGCAGTTAAAATTCTGGGAAATCTATTTGGAAAAGGAGAAGCAGATTTTTCAAAGTCAAGCTACAGAACACGCGACCCAGTTGGCAAAAGAGAATATTAGATGTTTCTTTGAGTGCTCAAAGCCGAAGGAATGCAACACCCCGAGCAGTAAAGACTGGCAGCAAATCTCAGCGTTGTACACATTCAATCCCAAGAACCAGTTCTACAGCACGCTGCACAAGTATGTTAGCAGAAAGGAGATGAGCGGCAGTCTCCGCTCTGTGGAAGGAGACGCAGTAGTCCCCGTCCTTGGCTTCGTAGATGATGCCTCTGTGGCCAACACTCACGGATTGTGACCTTGCACAACAACAACAACAACAATAATTCTGAATTGTTGCTTTTATATAAAAAATAAACATTGGTGTGTTTTATGGCTGTTTCTCCCAGGTTGTGAGACTTAGTTCTGAAACCGTAACAAATGTTTAATCTTTTTATTATTTTTTTTTCTATTAAGTTATTTATTTGCTTTACATCTTAATTGCAGCCTCCTCTTTCCTCCCAGTCCTCCTGTCATATAGCCCCTCCCTCCCACTCCCCTCCCCTTCTCCTCTGAGAAGGGAGAGCTCCCCTCTCCACCACACTGGATACCAACCTACCCTGGCATATCTAATCACTGCAGCAATAGTTAGGGAAACAGGATGCACAGGCAGGAAACAGAGTAAGGGACAGCCCCCACTCCAGTTGTTGGGGGGCCTTCATGAAGACCAAGCTGCACTTCTGTTACATATGGGGAGGGTGGAGGGCAGGCCCTAGGTCCAGCCCATATATGCTTTTTGGTTGGTGGTTCAGGCTCTGGGCCCACCCCAAGGGTCCAGCTTAGTTGACTCTGTTGGTTTTCCTGAAGAGTCCCAATCCCCTTGGGTTCTCCAATCCTTCTCCCAACTCTTCACATGACTCATGGAGCTCTGTCTAATGTTTGACTGTGGGTCTCTGCATCTGTTTCCATTGGCTGCTGGGTGGGGCCTCTCAGAGAACAGCTATACTAGACTCCTGTCTGCAAGCATAACAGAGTATCATTCATAGTGTCAGGGGTGGTGGAGTGCAGTCTGAGGTCCCAGGGGAGCTGGAACTACCACAGGGGTCCCCAGGCCTGCAGGGCGGCTGGGGATCATCTGGTTCTCAGGCTCTTGGGCACCCAGGCACTGCTGGAAGACGTGGAAGAGCTGAGAACAAAGTGGGGGCCCAGGGGCTGGACTGGCCCAGGGCCGAAGGGAAGAAGGGGAGAGAAGCTCCGGCTGCGCCCCTGGGGGAGAGTCCTTGGCTTGTTTAGGCAGTTTGGCTTAGCTTGTCATGGGTGACTGGCTTAGGCTGGGAACGCAGAGAGGTCTTCTGCGGCTCTGTAGGCAAAAGCCTGTTCCATTGCTCCCCACTATGGATTCTGATGAAAACAAGCAGTCCATGGTTTTAAGATGTTTATAGTCATGGCAGAAAGTAGATGAGAAGCCATACCCCTGTTTCTCACTGTGGACCTGAAGTTAAATATCTTTTGCAGGGAGGAGTGTCTGGGAAGGAAAGCTTAATTGGTTAAGCCCTTCTGGCCTTTAGGTACCTCATTAATATGGATATCTGTCTTGAGGCTATGTGATTTGTGGTCACGCCTTCTACCTGTGTAGGGGCTAGGGGGCGTTGCCCTTACGTGACTGAAAGACACAAATCTATGGAGGCCTCGTGTCAGGAGCCTGGAGTCCAAAAGCATGGCAGAACACCTACTGTCCTTTGCAGAGGACCCTGAGGGGTCACCTGCGGGGCCACTGGAGTTTCAAACCTAGCTCAACCAGAAATCAGGCTTGCTTTTCGGTCTAGTATATGTTCAAATTGGGAAAAAGTTCCTGAGGTGCTGAGAAGAAGGTACATTCTTTTGTGTTTATGTGAAATGTTCTATAGATGTTTTTTAGGTCCATTTGATTCATAAGGACTGTTAGTTCCGTTATTTCTCTGTTTAGTTTCTGTCTTGATGACCTGTCCATTGGTGAGAGTGGGGTGTTGAAATCTCAACACAATTAATGTGTGGGGTTTGATGTGTGATTTAAGCTTTAGGGGTGCCCTTGCATTTGGGACATAGATGTTCAGAATTGAGACTACATCTTGGTGGACTTTTCCTTTGATGAGTAGCATCTGTCCTTCCCCACTTTGTGATTACTTTTGGTTGAAAGTCTATTTGTTAGGTATCAGTGCCTATTCCAGCTTGTTTCTTGGTTCCACTTGTTTAGAAAACATTTTTTCCAGTCCTTTACTCTGAGATAATGTCTGTCTTTTGTTGGTGAGGTGTGCTTCTTGTACAAAGCAAAATGATGGATTCTGTTTATGTATTCGATGTGTTAGTCTGTGTCTTTTTAATTGGGGAATTGAGTTCATTGATGTTGAGAGACATTAATGACCAATGATTGTTAGTTCCTGTTATTTTGGTCATGGTGGTGATTCTCTCTCTCTCTCTCTCTCTCTCTCTCTCTCTCTCTCTCTCTCTCTGTGCGCACACACCTTTATTCTTTTAGTTTTGCTGGTGTGAAATTCTTTCTTTCTTTCTTTCTTTCTTTCTTTCTTTCTTTCTTCCTTTCTTTCTTTCTATTGCTGAACTTAACGTCATTGGGTAGGAGTTTTCCTTTTACTATCCTCTTTAGTGCTGGATTAGCTTCAAGATGTTGTTTAAGTTTGGTTTTGTCATGGAATATCTTGGTTTTTTTTTCCAGGTATTGTGATTAAAATTTTGCTGGGTATAGTAGTCTGGGCTGACATCTGTGGCCTCTTAGCAACTGCAAGACATCTGGCCAGTCTCTTCTGGCATTTAGAGTCTTTATTGAGAGGTCGGTGTAATTCTGATAGGTCTGCCTTTATATGTTACTTGGCTTTTTTCCCTTGCAGCTTTTAATATTCTTTCTTTGTTTGGCACATTTATTTATTATGTGGTGGTGGGATTTTCTTTTCTGGTCCAATCTATTTGGTGTTCTCTAAGATTCTCGTTCATTTATAGGCGTCTCTTCCTTTAGGTTAGAAAATTTTTCTTCTATAATTTTGTTGAAGATATTTTCTGGCCCTTTGAGGAGGGAATCATCTCCTTCTATTCCTATCACTTTTACTTTTAGGTGTGGTCTTTTCATAGTGTCCCAAATTTCCTGGATGTTTTGTGTCATGAACTTGTTAGCTTTAGCGTTTTCCTTGACTCACATATCAATTTCTTCTATCATATTTTTTACAGCAGAGATTCTCTCTCCCATCTCTTGTATTCTGTTGGTGATGATTGCTCCTATTATTCCCGTTTTCTTTCCTAGGTTTTCCACCTCCACTCCATTTTTCGTTATTGCTTTTATCTTCATTTTCAGTTCTTAGACAGTTTTATTCATTCCCTTCACCTATTTGATTGTAGTTTCCGTATTTCTTTAAGGGATTGATTCATTTCCTTTTTAAAGGCCTCTATCATCTTTATAAGATGGTTTTACGGTTTCTTGCACTTCAGCTGTGTTAGGATACACAAGGCTTGCTGTAGCAGGATAGCTGGACTCTGACAGTGACATATTTCTCTGGCTCTTGTTCATTTTGTTCTTAAGCTGTCTTTAAGCCATTTGGTTTTTCTTGGTGTTGGCTGGATGATTCTGATGCCAGCAAGCCTCCTTTAGGAGTCAGGCAGAGTCTTACAGTGGACCTCAGGGAACAGGATGATGCTTATCTCTGCTCACTTTACCCTGCGTGGACCTGGCAGGCAGGGGATTGGCTGAGAGGGGTCTAAGATGGACACTCCTGGGGCCCCAAAAGTCTCCTAGGGAAGGAGGGGAGAGCCACAGGCCAGACAACGGAGGCCAGGGGACAGTATGTACCTCACCTCTGCTGGCTGTACCCCAGGCAGACCTGACTGGCAAGGAATTGGTGGGGCTATTACATTGTTAAATAAACAAAACTGAGAGAAAATAATTTACTTGAAGTGACAATCTAGATTAAACATTTTATATCTCTATTCTAGTTTTGTATCATATAAAAGACTTTAATAAAAACGTGAAGAAACAGCTGATCTTAAGATCTTTCTGTTGGGTTATCTGATATTAATTTCAGATTGGGGTTTTGTTATTGTTTGCCAAAGACAGAGAATTAGGAATATAACTTTTATGACATTACAGTCTGCTCTTTGCTACAGTGGAGAACACACTGCGTTTCTAACCAGGCCTACAATGATTGTTCAAATACTATGACATCTTCTGACTCTAATATCATTTCTATATGAAAATTAATCATGGAACAGAAAACTGTAAGTAATTATGTTTTAGTTTTTCAGGTCAAAGACGGGTGTGATAGCACACATCTTTAACCCTAATACTCAGGAATCAGAGGTAAACGGGTCTCTGAATTTGAGCTCCTCTCCCCCAAGTTCCAGCCAGGCCTACAGAGTGGGACCCTGTCTCAAACAGAACAAAACAAAACAAAACAAAAAATCAAACCAAACCAAAACAAAACAAAAGATTTGCTGGCCTGGGATGCATTCATTTTTAAGTTAGAAAAGACTTTGAAAAGCCTATTTACTATGGTAAATTTAAAGTACACATACCAAGTAGAGGCTGAGGGCTAGAGGAACTGCTTTTGGTTCCCAATGTCCATATGTTGGCTCACAACCATGTGTAACTTCACTTCCAGGACATCTGATGGCACCTTCTGACCTCTTTGGGCTCTGTGTACACACCATGGTATACATACATACATGCAGGCAAAACACCTATACACATAAAATAAACATACATTTTTTTAAAACAAGAGACAGGTTGGGCAGTGGTGGTGAATGCTTTTGACCCCAGCACTCAAGAGGCAGAGGCAGGCAGATTTCTGTGATTTCAAAGTCAGCCTGGTCTTACAGAACAAGTTCCAGGACATCCAGAACCCCCATCTCAAAAGAAAAATGTGGAGGGACCCTTTCCCCCAACATAGCTAATCATCATACATTTTCAAAAGAATGGGGAAGTAAGATAAACACCAAGTCATCTAAATAATGAAAAAGTACAGTACAGATTACGATTTGACTCAGATGGAGGGAGTTAGGGGTTTGGTAGAATGTGTAAGAAGCTGATATATAGTGAACAGAGTGTTTCAGCCAGGTGCACAGTGTATCGACGGGGGCGGGGAGGGTCTAAGCACTGCTGAGGGTACAAAGCCAACTGGGCAACAAGGAGGAGACAGATAGTGCAGCACCTTGGTCTCGTTCCCTTTCCTTGGTCCTGGGACCCCCACCTCTCCTCCAACTACCGTGACCGTGGGCCTAGGAGTTTCAAATGTACACCTAAAATTTTTTCCTCCCTTACCTTAACTTTATCTTGTGCTTCCAATATGTATATGTGTTTCAGCATCTTGCCAAATCCAGTTGTTTAATCAAAATCTGTATCCAGGACAGTTCCAGAGAAGCTACT